GACTGGTACTTTGATGATACACTGAAAGTTCTTGTCATCTTTGCCAGCGGAAGGATGCCTCCCAACACGAAAGGCATACATGTTGACCTTGTCAATCAAGTCTGGGTGGAGCAAACCAAAATGATGCTTCAGGAAGGAGATATGCTGCTGACTCGCCTGCTCAGTGTCCTGTGGCCCCAGAAGGCGCGAATCTGCATCCATAACGAGCTCAGCAACTTCAGCGGCAGTCAGTTGCACTTTCGGGTCAGGAAGCTTGTAGGTGACCGAACCATGAAGCTGCCAAAGAATGACGAGCCTTTTGTAAGCAGTCTTGGCTTGCGCATCTTCAAGGACAAGCTCATACGGGCCAATGACTTTCAGACCAAGATCAATGTATTGGTTCTTGTCATTCCCAGGCAGAATAGCCAACATAGTAGCACGCGGAGTGATGCGGCTGAGCTCAGCAATGCCTGACTTTGTGGCAAGAACAGCTCCAGCCTTTTTGGCACCAGCCTGAAGACGGTGAACTTGAGGGATTGGAATTCCCTTCTCGTCAATAAGCGGGTGGTCCGCAGGCATCGTAAGGTCCTCCCATCTCGTCTGGAAGAGTTTTTTGGGGTTCTTCTGCTTGCCAGTCTTGGGGGCCCAAGGATCATCAATCTGCAATTGGTCAACCTTAGTCGCACCGGCCTCTGGCTTGCTGGTGGGTTCTTTGTGCTCGGTGCCACCACCAGCTGCATACTGCGGCACTCCTCTGTCAGCAAGGAGATGGTGAAGGAAGTTCGTCCGCACCAGGGCAGCAAAGCTGGAGATTCTTGGAAACGAGGAAGACAATTGCCAGACAAGCCTTGCTCTTTCAATTACTTCGGATGTGCACTCTGAACCTGGAGAGATTGATGGCCTGCTGCGTCTCATTTGCAAGCGGTGGAATGGCAATCCGAAGTCTCTCACAAAGGGAGTGAAGTAGGACCCATCCACACATATTGGCCTCAGGGTTGCATCTGAGAATGTGCACTTGGCAAGTCAGCTGAGCTTCATCGATCTGAGACATGATGAAGGTGGCCAACGGCCCCGCAAGATGGGCGAGTGCATCAGGCAAACTCATAAAGAGTGCAATGGAAGTATCATTCCTGTTGGCATCAATCTGCGTCCAGCACTGGTCAATGAGGACAAACCATGTCACTTGTTGGTAGGCACGGAAGTCCCGGCGCACATCATTGAAGTATACAATGTGGCCAGTGGCATAATCCCAGCTTCCAGGTGGCACGAAGCAGCATTGCGGCCTCACAAAGCGAATGGTGTGGAGAATGAAGTCTAGCTCATCTGACCCAAGCCATCCAGGGTAGTGGTTGAAGTGCTGAATGCGATGGTGAAGATGGCTATCAGGGCTGTCGATGTGAATGAACGGTGTCTCAGCGTGATCAGGACTGTGACCAGCATCATCAAACACAACGTGTAGAGCATCAGATGTGACCGCATTGCCTCGAATAGTGGTGGTGGTGGCAAGAAAGCTGAAGAAAGCTCTTCGGATGTTTGCAGCAAAGTACCACAGACCATGTGCAATACCATGTTGGTGCCAATCTTCAATAGCATCCTCAACAACATCATCAATCAAAGCACGCATGGCAATTGATGTGGAGCCATAGAGCTCGGCATTGTGAGGGATCTGCTCAAAAATGCCTGCAGCATTAGCCCATCTATGAAGCAAAGCCCAGCCACAGAAGTGAGCAGAGTCATCAAGAGGAACATGGCTGTATTGCAAGCGATCGGGAGAGATGTCAAGTAATCTTGCCACAACTTGTAACCCAGAGCGAAGCAAAGGTCCAGGAAGGCCAACAAAGGTGACATGCGTGGTGGCGCCATCTCGCTGAATTTCAAAAGCCAACCAATGAGAGCCCGAAAGGATAGGCAAAACATTGAGCCGGTTGTTTGCAATCATGATCTCCTGATAGTCATTCTCTTCCAGATTCGCAGTTTCAAGGTTCCAGCGAACAATTGGGTGGATGACCGCAAACTCCGGTGCAAGCCAGGAGAACTGCCGCAGCGCAAAGTCCATCTCATCAGTGGCAAGCCAGCCACCTGTGTTGCTCGCAAATTCAGCACGTTGAATAAGGTTGGCTCCAGCTGGCAGTGTGTCAGTACGGGCACCATGATGCCCTCCACAGGATACATCAGTTGCAATCCGGAGCTGGAGCAAGTCACCGTGATCAATGAGGACTGGATAGTTGGAGACTTCTTGTCCATTGAGTGCAGCAATCATGTAAAGCTTGGAGTCAATCTCGAAAGAGCAGTTCTCAAGGCTGGGAGCCAAAAAGAATCCACAAAGCGACCCACCATTCTCAAAGATAACAAAGATGAGTTTGTCATCAGAGTACTTGTTGAAAATGACCGCACATGGTCCAACAGATGCTGAGTGGCTATGGTCGTTGAGCTTGAATGCCAACTGGTTGGAGTCCCCATCAGCGAAAGCCCAGAACTCATGAACGCAGCGAAGTCGGTCAGCCTCGTGGGAGAGCCCAGGCAGGGTGATAGTGCACGGAAGTGAGCCAAAAGCAATGGTCATGTCTGCAGTACCAAGTCTAGGAGCATCCAGACAATGGTTTTCAAGATACTCCAAGGCAAAATGAAAGCGCCGATCCTCAAAGAGCACTTGGTCCTCGACAAGGAGGAGTTGAGTTGGTGTCTGGTCAAGAGGTTGAAGCACGTTCGAATGCTGGCCGTCAGGGCCTGGCCACGGTTGCGTCGAGGGACACACCAAAGGGGCCTTCGAAGCAAGCTGGATAGTCGCAACCGGGAAGCCTTGGAGGAAGACTGTCCACTGTGGATACTGGTCAAATACTTGCCAGAGTCGTGCTCGAGGAGAAAGAGTCTCACCTGTCGCAGCAAGATAAATGTGCCCAGTGATGTTGAAATCCCATGTGAAGCAACCCAAAAGGTCATTGACAGACCAATCGCGAGAGGCAGGGAACTCTGTAGCTCGCCCACCCTGGTGAATGCAGTGGATAGTGAGGCATTCTTGGTGCGATGTGACCTCACTGCGGACACAAATGTCATCAATGATGGTGGAAGTGCTGGCAAAGATGTAGAAGTTGCCTTCCTCAATGATGACCGTCCTGGGCCCAGTAAGCCTGGTGGTCCACACCTCATTGACAATCTGAACTACATCAGTAGGCCACTGGAAGAGGTACTTGAAGCCTTGCAGGAGAACAAAGAGCGCATGCGGTGTAGCAATTGCATTCCCAATCTGCCGGTAGAGCACATCAAGCTTGGAGGAGAAGACCGAGGTCTCAAGCAGACCGAGAAGGCCCGCTAGCAATGCAGGATCCAAGAACTCAGGTCCAAAATCTCCTTCACGAAGTGTAGCAAAGATGCCCTTCTGCTCAAGACATGACCTCGGTAACTCATGTTGGAAACCATATGAAGCACAGACAGTGGGGACCGGTTCATGCGATTGCAAGTACCTCGAGCGAATGATAGCCTCTGTAGGCATATCTGGTGCAATTTTCATGCGCTTTGACGGAGGCAAGAGCGAATGAAGTCCATACAGCACTTGGATAGACTGCGGAATGGTGATCTTCTCACGGAGACTGCGAGGCAATTGGAATCGAAATGCATCAGAAGTCCATTGCTCGAACCTAAATGCACGAAACTGGTCGGACTGGCTTTCAACATGCGAAAAAAGGTCAGCCCTGACATACACGGCGAGCCAACGAGTGCGTTGCATATGTGCAAAGGTACAGTATGGGAGAGTGCCCTCCCACAAAGGACGATAGCCAATGACATGCAAGAGATGACGAATGATTGGAAAGTGGGCATGGCGAGCGAGTTCGTCCACACACTCCAAGTTCAACATCGTGGGTTGGGCAAAAGCACACTGTTTTAAACAGTCAACGAAGGTCCACCCTTCAAAACAGTTTAGACCTCTTCCAAGGCCTCCCCGGCTCCATGAAATGCAAGGAGGCGATGCTGTAAAAATGAAATTGGCCAACGGCTGCACCACATGCAGCAGGCAAGGGTCAGCCACTTCCGCCCTCACAACTTTGTGAAGGGACACTTCAAAGACAGCACTGGCCTGAACTGGTGCAGGCGTGACATTGCATCCATGCTTGCGAGCAAGTGCAGCGGTGACTTCAACATCCACATCAACAAACGTTTGCGTACCCAATCGAAGAGTGGAGCAAAACCGTAGCAGCGAGCTGAGAGCTTGGCCCCATCCAGAAAAGGCACCTGAAAAGATGTGCAGACATTCAATCGCTTCATCAATCACAGGCATGGTCTTCTTCAGGAGGATAGCACGGTGATCACCAGTCCAGAGGCCAATATCCTGGGTCGTGAAAAGGCCTGCGCAGACAAAGAGATCGCCAGCAATCAAATTCAGGGACCGCTTGTGAGCATCGTGGATGCAGATCTTGGCTTCCGTCATCTTCTCTCCAGTAAAACCCTGGCCAGCAACAAATTGCATGAGGGAGACTTCATAGATGTCGTTCACCTGGGACCAAAACGTTCCAGCCAGGATCGTGTAGTGCTCCCAGCAGAGAGCTGGGCCATCGCCCACACCATGAAGGAGAGCCCTGGCCCTTGACCTCCAGGGATCCTCCAAATCACACAAAAGCAGATCTAAGTCCATGGCTCTATCCAAAGGAGTGCAAAGAACCTATCTACCTAAGTGGAAAAGGTGTGGACAGGAGAAGTCCACTCTGTAGACGCCTGCCCACAGCCGCGAGGCCGTCGAACAGGCCCCGGCCCCCGTGAGGCGTAAGCTCAAGGGTACTTGAACCCAGAAAGCTAGTAGTCTATTCTGTTCATTTTCTGTGGTCAACCAGGGGAATCCTTGCAACCGGAGTTTAGCCAACTGCCACTTGGCCATTCGTTGAACGCCTGTGGTCGCAGTCCTGAGGGCCTTCCTGATTGCATAGTCTTTTTCGTTCAAGCGTGCCGAGAGTCTGTGGCCAGAGGCAGCCGATGTACTATGAAGGATACATGCTTTTCTGAGTACACACGAAGAGCACCAGCGTACTAAGGTTTGAGAAGATGCTTGATGAGGCAGGGAGCAATCCTTTCCCTTGGCTCAAGAAAAAGAGAGCACCACTTGATTCGAGAAAGGACCCGTCCTTTGCCACTCTAGATCAACTTTGGACAGTTCTAGTGGTTTCCTCCAGTTCGTTGAGATGAGAGAAAGGTGCATGAGGACAAGTTTCTACCTTGCTCTGAAAGATGCTTTTTGCAATGTCAATGGAGAACGCAACGGGCGCCCATCTGGACTTTTTTTGGGGTGTTGCAACTGCAACTGCCATCATGAAGGCAAATTCTTTCAATACAAGTTCAGATCTCCATTGTGGGTCGCATTGGGTCGCCTCCGTGAACGAAAGTCTTTCTCGCAGAAAGCGTTTGTTTTTTCTTTTTCACTTTGAAGTACAGCAAATTCACGAAGCATTTAGTTTTGTTGAAGACCACGCATTTGCTCGGCGGTACTGAACAGGTAAGGTATATACAAAGAGCATCAAAGAGCAATTTTTCCGCAGATTGTTTTTGACAGCTCTGCTTTGTGTGAAGGTCAGCATTGTCTTCGCGAACGGGGGGAATCCAGACATCCTTGGCCCCTTGTCTGAATTCTGAACTCCTGTGCCTCTCTTAGGTTTTTCATGAGACGTTTACTCTGTTGGAGTCTCTCTGGTCGCTCAGGGTACCAATGATGTCAAGAAACCCTCAAGGAACACTTGTGCTCTTGACAACACACACATTGAAGCTAGACAAGAAACATATAACGTAAGTACTCAAGAGTACATACGTACGACGTACCCTGTTCCTTTTGCACATCCCTAGCAAACCCTGGCCGTGATTAGTCTCTTTGACATTGGATCCTGCTTGCCTAAATCGTTTTTGGAGGGACCCAGGCTACGCTGCTGGACTTAGGCTATGTCTTTCAAAAGTTTGCTCCCCAGCTGGGGAAGATGATTTCATCACGGGTCCGCTCTGGCCGCTTGCTCTACCTCGGAAGGACCGCAATCGGCTGTTGTGGTGTGTGCCGTGATAAACTCCAGAGATCAGCGACAGTTCCTACTCTACAGACTTTAAGGGAGGCAATGTTCCATTCTGGTGGATGTCTCATGCAGGCTCATGTAAGTGTCTTCCTATGCCTTTCGTCCTCGTCCAGTGAGATTCGAAGGAGTGCAGGTTCCATGGCAGCTTCAATCGATTATGCCTACACCTACGAACCGAATCCTCTTCTTGCAGCTGGCCTCAAAATCATCGAACGAGTGCGGTTCAAGTTGAGCCGTTTCGAGTCCTAGGGCTCATCCGGCACAGCTTCGGTTGATGGCACAGTCCAATTGGTTTTGGCACATCTCTTTAGCAGGTTTGACAGTGATTTGCTGAACATGCAAGTGAACGAACTCTTGCTGAGGAAGAAGTCTTGCTGCAAGGTGATACCAGCGGTCTTGCTCTGGCCGGCAGTTGTGCTATTCGGCCGCACTACGGGCCTCTTGGCAATGAAGATCTGCCCGAAACCTTCAAAACAGTTTGAGCTCTGTGCTTTGAAGAAGCAAATAAGCAGGCTTAAAGGTAGCTAGCAACATTCTATTGGTCAGACCAGGGGAGCTACCATGATGTGTCACTCTAATCCTGCATTTCAGCTGGTGAAACAACATGCATTATCCATGGTAGGGGCAGGGGAGAAGTACATTTCAAACTGCAGGCAGTTATGTAATATTCTGAATCCGCTGTTGCAATGCCCGACAATCCTCATTCTTATCACTTTTGTACCATCTACGTGCACTGCAAACGTACAACAGCATATTCAACATGCTGCTTTCTCAGTCTTCAGCTCTTCCAGAATCTCTTTCCACCACTGCGACTCAGGAACCTTCTTTGGAACATACCAACCAGAGTTCTGCAAAAAGCCAGAGGTCAAGTCGGAATCCTCACAGAAAATGGAGACTTTGGCATTTGTCTTAGGAGTCTAGCATGAAGGTCGCAAGAAGGATGGCAGATGTATTCATTTCCTCTCAAGAAGCTCAAAAGAGGAATCCGGTACAACATTTCTTCACCAGAAGACTTGGGCAATTTGGTGTGGGTCACAGGGAGTACAGAATGAGTACAGACAGGGACTCGTTGGTGCTGACCACCTATGTGGAGCGTTTGGTGCAAAGGAACCACTCAGCACAGCTGAAAGAAACTCTCCCAACCAGACCAAGTGGCTTGGAGGTGCCTTCTTCTCACTCCCCAAAGGGTGAGTTGTGGGTGCAACCCCCTGGCGAGTCGATGCCGATTGGCCGAATGGTTTCGACCAATCTATGTGGGTGTTTGGTCGTCCTCCTTTTCTCCTGTCTTAACATGGGCTGGAGGTCGAATCCGTCAACAGCTTGCTGAGGAGAAGGTCTAGCCTGCGATCAAGGTCATTGCTTTATGGTTGGGAAGAACTCACGAGAAGGCCGGATGAGGATCGATAAAATGTACTGTAGATCAACTGTCGCGAAGGCTCTTGAGACGACGAAACGAAGACGGTTATATTATTGTATAAAAGGCTGGTTTGGGCAATCTATTTCGGGATAGGAGCTGCTGTTTGATGTTCAAGCACTCTATTTTAATGGTCTTTAAGCTTGTGAAGGTAGTGCGACATAGCAACCTGTCCGACCTTGGTCTTGAGGCTTTGACATCTTCAGCCAGCCCACCTCGCACTTGCCGAGGGTATTTGAGGCTGGAGTTTGCTTTGAAGATCTAGCTTCAAAGTATGTTGTGAACATCCGGCATCGGCTTCATGTTTCCAGATGCGAGATTCTGTCGACAAGATGCGTGTCCTTTGCTCGCACTCCCGAGTGCCGGTCAGGCCTACAAATTTGCCTACAAGAAGTATGTCCCTCCAAGGCCAAACCTCGCCTGGCCCTCGGCTGAAGATTGAGGCAGAAAAGGTGAACAACTGACCACGCCAGTCGTCAATTCAACTGTTGCTTCAAGTCGCTTCTCTGTTTCGATTGGCCTAAGGTTTCAACCTGCAGACCTGCAGCACCTCAGTGTTCCTGAGACCGACCCAAGGGGACACAGGGATCAAGCGGGAAATACCCCAACGGGTCGGTGAAGGTCATGTGGATGACAGCATCCTGTGTGGCCCAAACAGCTTGGGCTTCCAACGAAGGTGTAGGGCATTTCGAGGGTCCGATCCTGGCACATAAGAGATTAAAGATCCGAGTGAGAGGCAGGTGTTTGAGAATAGGTGACACTCAAAACAACAATGGCCCGGGTGCAGAAACTGGGTTTTTGGTTCAGAAACTAGGCCCTGCTTTAGATCAAGACACGTCTTTTTTGTTTTTAGAAACTACTTTGGGTTCAGTAACCAGGTCTTTGGGTTAAGCCTTGGTTTGGCGGGTCGAGGGTCTTGGGGGTCCCGAGGGCTATTTACGTTCAAGTCAATTGCTGCCAGTTGCACGAAGCAGAACTTCATGCACGTTACATGAAACAGTTTCATCTATTCTCAACCAACTGACACTCCCCTTTCTGAACCCCAGTTTCTGAAACCCACGTTCCATCACGTTCCTAGTTCTCAAACTTACGCTCGTTTTCTAGCTTTTGAACCTAGATAACTTTAAAACGTGTCAGTTTACCTTCTAGTTTTCAAACCGCATAGTTTAGCTTAACCCCGAAAGAAGCAAAGGGTAAGCGCATTTGTTCATCCAGGCATTTCTTCTAGTCAGCTGAAAGATAGACGACACCACCCAGCCTCACATCGAACAAATATTTTCTGGTACCCTGCTCCCTGCTGCTCTCGAAATGAACATCCGCCGATGAACTAGGCTAAAGTCCACAGAATTGTTTTTGATTTCGGCGACTCTACAAGGTGGGCACAGCGGCTTGACAGAGCAGTCTATGCTGATGCTGGCAAGCTCCAATTTCGAGGATCCTGATGCCAAGGAGTGGGGAATGGTGAGCATTCGCAGCTCGGGACACTTGAAGATGGGAATAGGACAAAGCAGTGTAAGTTCGAGATATGTTTTTGGATACTATAGAGGACTATACAACCTTTTCTTATTCCCAGATTCTTTGACAGAGATCAGTTAAGCGGCCCGGAATGCCAGTGTCTAGATCAACATAGATGCAGCATATTCCATTGAACAAGGGCATCGCTACTAGTAACAAGGGCATTACTAGCAGTATCAAGAAGCTACTAGAAAAAAAACCAAGAAGTTACCATCCCTTGCTTTTTTTTCCTCAGATGTTCAGCCCGAATCGTCAGAGGACGCCTTCCAATCCTTGCTGGACTTGCAATCCAAGCAGCATCGATCCAAGGCACCGGTTGGTGGCCCATCCGCGGTTGCAGAGAGAGCGATCCGCGGTGCGACACATGCGGATGGAAAACAGCGCGAGCCATAGCGATGTGTGAAAGACATGGGGAACTACTCTTCAGCTGGCACTCTAGGTGATGGATCCGGATCATCAATCAAAAGGAAGGTCTTAACACAGTGAAGAATACAGACCCCATGTCCATGCATGTGGTTTCTAACTGCTGCTAGGTGCTGGTGCTGGATGATGCGGCATTCCTCACGTCCGCCTTCTGGGATGAGAGGAACCCTGCCTTTTCCAGAGCCGATGGAGTGAACTACCTCAACGCAGGCAGGTCTGCCAAGAACATGGCACAAGAACATGGCCAAAACGACCGTGATCTTGTGTGTGAAGTTTGTGGAGACTTATAACTGCAACCGCAAGATATCACAAGTTTGTCGGCAACGAAGTGGAAGCTGTTTCTTCGTTGTCCAACCTGAAAGAGGCCTCTCCCCCCATCAACCCAAAACTGCTTGCATTTGCCGCCTCTGATGGGAGAAACTCTGAGGGCAGGACAACAGGCCCTTTGAGACTCATGCCTACCCACTGTAGGTCTGAAGACGAGTCAGAAGCTTGTGCGAGAAGCGACAGGTGGGTTTGAGGGTATGGATGCTGGGTGGATGCTCAGCAGCACGTACATGGCACTACCCTCTGTCGAAGCTCTATATAATGTAGACATATATGTAAACCTGCAGCAAAGCATCCTGGTGAACTGCGTGATATGATACTGTACTCAAGGCTGGCTCCCGTGCTTTTTGCTACCATTTTCCATGGAACGAGCGCAACTCAATGCTGCAAAGTGACTTTCTGTTCACAAAACCTGATTTTCACAAGTACCATCTTCACTGGAAGTCACTCAGGATCCAATGCACTGAGTGCAAGCTTGGTCTTCCTGGATTTCCGGCTGAAGTCTTCAGCCACGCAACTTGGAAGCTGAACCGACACTCCCGGCGCCACGTCGTCCAGTCGTCGTGCTCCGTACGACCGGCACCCACCGGCGACCGGAGGCCTCTGCCTTCGATCGCTGTGCGACCGATGAGCAAAAGAAGGCGAGCGGATGGATGAGCAAAAGAAGAGGTCAGTGAGGGAATCAGAACTTGAAATTGACGGATTGGCAGCAGAAATGCACAGAATGCGATGATTATAAACATGCAGTTGTGGGGGTCCATCTTGAGACATGCAAAATTCCTTAAGCTGGAGCCGACTTTGTTGTGCTTGCAGGCTTTAAGCAGCCGCATCACTCCCAAAATTGTCCGATGGATACATATTATGGGGCTGAGACTACTCGTTCACGGCACTTGCTCATTTTCATTGACACTGCAGGGTGCAGCATAGTTGTTTCTGTTGCAAGTGGCAGGCTCTGTTCCAACTGCAGTCGCAAGGCATTGCGCCAAAGGCCGGTAGTGATGAGGGGAGCTAGCACCTAGACCGGATAGGCAGGCGAGTGATTGTGATTCAATGAGGATACAAGGAAGTCCCAGCCTCGTTCTGTTTGCTTCCGGTTCCGGGTGTGAACAGGAATTCTGATATCAAAGACCGGATGGTTGCTTTGCACTGATCTTTGATCGTAGGAAGCCTTGCAAGCTGCTTTTTCGGTTGACGTAAGGTGCAGATGGGCTCTTTGGCGCATCCAGAGTGCCTTCAGGAGCAGCTTGTTCTGCAAACAGCTGCCCTTGTTCTGCTTCGAAATTCCACAGGTCTGTAGATGCAGATGGTGTGTGCCACAAGACTTTTTGCAGAGTAGACCTTCCCGTCAATGGACCTCAACTGCTGGTATTTGTGGGAGATCCCGACAGGATATTTTCCTTACAAGGTTGTAGGAATTCTTCCTTCGCCATTTGGTTCCTGCGTATTGAGGTTGGAGCAGCTTCTGGAGGAGTCCAGCGTGCTGCTGGTGAACTCCGGGAATGTTGATTTTTTGGGTGTCGTGCCAGCAGAATCTGACCGTTTCATGATGGAAACAGATGGGTCTACCACAAAAGGCACCAGTTTCAGACAGCTCCTGACAACTGCCAAAATTATTCAGCGTCATCTCTCCTGACACTCCGTGTCTTCATGAACTGCCTTGGAGACTTGCCGAACACGACAAGTCACAGGTTTAATTCAAGATTCTAAGAGCTGCGGCCGGCCAGGGCCAGCTTACCAAGGTTACGTTTACAAGGTCCTGGTGCCTGACTTTACCGAGAAGCTCACCAACCGCGTGAAAGATGGCTCTTTGAGCCATGGCGGAGAGATTTATGCTGCATCATTCGAGATTGCATGAGCCACGCTTCGTCCTCCTGTCGAGACTGGTTTGATGACAAACGTAGACTGCAAATGACATCAAACCGTCAGACCTTCATGTTTAGTTGCTGAAAACTGCAGGCTTTTTGATCTGCTTCTTCAACTGCTAGCTGCTACTTGTTGAAGTGATGAACCTCACTCGGTCTGTCGGTTCTCACCTTCCGGCTCTTGAAATAGAAAGATGCCAATAGCCTGTATAGTTCTTGTTAGACAAGTACCTGTTACACTTCAATCTTCCAAACAGAACCAGTTCGAATGGCCGTCGCCACGCGAGGATTTTCCTGGGCTCCGGCGCCGGCGCGATATTGGCCGGGGAGACCTTCGCGCTCACGGCCGCGCCCCGGGTGGAGCTCCTTCAGCACCTTGGCACCCCGAGAGCGACGGCTTTGTAACAGGATATATCAAAGTGTGGATGGGTTCATCATCCGAAACTGTGGCAACAAAAGGAACTTCATTGTAGATGTACAGTGTCATTTCTATTTTGTTTCTTGAGCAAACCAGTGGTGCTTGGGACTCATGACAAGAAATACTCAAGCCAAAAAGCTAGGGACCATCTGGAGCAGGGTGAGTGATTATGAGACATAAACTACGTGGCGACGTGTTTGCATTGATGGAGGATGCTGCTGATGGGCGATATGCAGGGGCTTGGCTTGGCCGGGCATTGCGCGCTGCGGCCCCACTGGAGCAATAAAACCAGGCTGGAAGGTTTGGGGAGGTGGTGTACTCCAGCAGCCGAGAACTCCTGAAGGATATGTGCTGCCCATCCCGGGACTTAAACAGCAAGGTTATTGTTGCGGCTGTGCACATGCGGCACTTGTTCGTACACGGCTTTAGCTCCTTCCCACTATATGTTGTATATATATATATAGTGTATACATTTATACACTGTGACACACAAAGAATTTACTTCTAAGCCATTCCTGGTATGGTTGCAGACTTTTGGATTTAATCTCGACGTAGGATTAATAAACGGCCCCCCCCCCCTTCAAGGTCAACAAGGTTTGAGATTGGAGGTTTGAGAGATAACATCCCCCTAATACAGCTGATGACCTGATGATGAAAGGGAATTTGATTTGGAAGAATTGGAATGACAGGGAATTAGTTAGTATTTGGAAGAATTGGGCTGAAAGGGAATTAGTATTTGGAATTGAGATGAAAGGGAATTACTACTTGGAAGAGTTGGGATGAAAGGGAATGCGTATTTGGAAGAATTGAGATGAAAGAAAGGGACTTAGTATTTGGAAGAATTGAGATGAAACGGAATTAGTATTTGGAAGAATTGAGATGAAAGGGATGAAAGGGTTGGAAGGGTTGGATGAGGAGATGAAGATATTGAATACTAGCAAAAAAGAAAACAATAACGAGTTACAAATACACTGTATAATATATTTTTTCTGGGGCAGCTGGGATTGATTAATAGGGGGAGGTGGTCCTACTATTGGGGGGGTAAGGCCTCTGTGAGGGGTACCCTTTTTGAGCTTGAAACAGTTAAGATTTTAAAGAGTTTTAATAAGGGAACATGAAAGACTTTTGCTAGAGAGTTTTTGGTGTTTTGGGGGATGGTTGGTAGCATGAGACCTGAGGAGAAGCCATCAAAAGGATCTGAGGAAAGGTGGTGGTGAGAATCAGGAAGATGAGGAGATGAAGATATTGAAAACTAGCAAAAAAGTTGTTCTTTTCTTTTTTTAATATATACATATAAAGTATATTGGAGACTAGCCAAAAGAATGTAAAACAAAAAACTATAAATACATAGTAAACAACATTTCTATTTTTTTTGGGGCAGCTGGGATTGATTAATAGGGGGAGGTTTTTGCACAGGAAAAACATTATTAGGGTGATGCCAAGGGGAAATCCATAGATCAACTTAGTTTAATATTCGGGGGGGTCGAGCTGGGATTGATTAATAGGGGGTGGTTTCTTAATCCTATGTTGACGTTAGATTGCGTCTGTTTTGAACACCAGACGAACCAAATGCAGACTATATAGATTCCTAGATCTCTCAGCCCCTGCAGTACTTGGAGGTGAACGGGTCGAGGTTTTGAGATAATTGTCCAGTATTCAGAATCGGACAAAGACCTGGTGCGTGTGTTTAGAAATCCATTTCCGACCAGCGGAAGCCAGCTGCTTAGGATATCGGGTTGCATCGACACTTGATCAGGGTTAGCTTCAGGCTGTGGGACATCACATCTAGCCTTTATGCCAACGCCGTTGGTGGCATTGACATCGTCGGGCGACTGGGCTACTTGAGGGTGTTGTGCGAGCTTCACAACTGGCCAAAAGGCTTGGAGGCCCATGGGTAGTGAGAAGAACGTAGATTAGAGTCTTCAATGGCATGTGCAAGCGATGAGTGAGTGTATTGTTGGAAGGGTACATGGATACACAGGGATTGTCCTGATGCGTAATGAAAGACCAATCTACATTTATGCTCCAACAACAACCCTTGTCGGATCATGGCTAGCCGCTAGGCCCAACTTGAACAGTGTCGTTGTGTGCTCATCCAAGGCTGCAAGACGGAGATGTGCTGACCTGTTCGCATGGAAGATGCGAGACCGGCTGTTGTTTTGGGGGGAAGAAGAGTGGATGTATGGATGGCAGTGTTTCATCAGTCACAGGTTTTCCGGTTTGCCCACCAGCTTTGGGTGCACGTGTACTCACTTCACTTTGGGTTCCTCACAGTTTTATCACCCAACCCAGGCCCAACAAGGAAGATTCTTTAAACAGAACATGCAGCGAACACTTTAAACGTTGGTGCTTGATGAGCCTTTATCAACAGTAGCTTCTGCGAAAGGCCTTGAACTCTGCCAGGTTGCATGCCCCGATGTCAGTAACATTGTTTAGGGCACCATTGTGAACAATCTGTGTTGAAGTGCTGCTGACAGAAAGATGCCCTGGCCTTTCTCTCTTGGATCTCAGCGGTCAGGATCCGTGGCCGCACCCAGAAGCGGGGTGCGACGACCCTGGATTGCGCCGACCAGCCTGGTTTCCATCGGGGACGCATCGACAATGCATCTTGGCGCGTGCAGATTTTGGAGAGTTCGCAAAGCATAAACCAGAACGATTGCGATACAAGTACTTAGGTTCCCGGCATAATTCGCAAGCACCCAATCAAGAGTGATTGCTTCGAACCGGAACATTCTTTGGAGATCGGAGCGCACCAACCCTAGCCTTGGTTTTTTGTGGGATGCACCGTCCCCATTCGCTGTGAACCTTTTGCAGGTCTGCAAACCCACCCAAATGAACTGTGCACTGCTCCCAGCTCATGAAGCCTGGGAAAAGATGAAACAACTTTCAAAAAGGACCCGAAGGGACGCCACAGCAGGAGATGTTTTTTAGTATGATGTTCTCAAGGAGAAGAAAGCCTCTTTTGGAGGCCCAATCCTTTGGTTCGGTCACCTGAACCTGGTTTGGTCGTTCAACAAGGCCATGGCGTCGAGCTTTGGTTGAGGAGTTGTGCGGGAGCCCAATGGTTGGAGGGGAAGATTGGCACACTTGACGTCCAGAACACCAGTTCCGAAAGATATAGCGACATTCAACGGTTCTTGGAGGTTTCGAGGCCTGTGTCAAGAAGCAAAGTGCACCATCAAGGGTAATTACTAATTCCAAGGAAATGACGATGGAAATGGGGGAACAGATCAGTCGAAAGCCCTTTGCAATTATGATCAGGTCGACCGTGCCGCAGCAGTGATTGAGCCCATTTTCGCAGCTTTAGGCTGCTGGGCCTTGAGCTTTAAAGTGCTTAGAGGTGCTCTACCCTTCTTCACCTCTTGGCCGCCAGTATTTCAGCCTGCTGGCCAGCGTGTTTAGTGGTGTAGTCATGTAGTTTGGTCTGAGGTGGAAGGTGGAAAGATCATCGTCAATGTACAAAGTGTCCATATCTTTTGAGACTTGAAAGAACGCCCAACGATTATTGGAGGACTCATGTGAAGCTTTCTGTGCGGGTCCCAAAAATGATTTGGCAAACGTCTTTGCTGGCTTTCAAGCAGTTCACACTGCCAAATTTGGGATTCGGGATGGATGCATTCAGTGCCGCCGCTGGCTCTGTGGGTTTGGCAAGCTGCAGCCCCTAATTGCCCAAGACATATGACACAGACACCATGGCAGAATGGTATGTCTGAGTTTAGATAGGTGCAAATGGTACATTGGAAGGCGCTCCGTGAGAAGACTCAGTGTTTGAACACTCTCACCGTGTCAGACGATACTTTTTCGCATGATTCGCAAACCATGAAAAGGATTACTCCGTGTCCTGTTTTCGCATCAACAGGCTTTTTCAAAAACACAGCAGAGGAAGACACACACACATGTCTCGACAGGAGACCGCCGGGTGAGCGATCAGACAGGCTGATGATGCTTTTATTTGGGCTCAGCTCTTGGAGATCTGTGGTTCTTGGACTCGTTCACCGTGGTTTGTTTTGAGGGCGATCACGGGCTTCACTTGCTTTTCCGTCCGGGGGTATACGTGGTGTAAGCTCGATGTGTTTGGGAATGACGCTCATGACTTTCCGTCGGCACCAATCGACAAAAACATTAGGGCTCCAACAACAACACGGCGCCCGATGCTCTCTTGTTCAGAGTTGCTTTCCAGCCAGGCTCATCAGCGCGTTCGAGCATGTGAACGTCGAGATTTTGGAAGACAAAAAAGCAAGGTGCCAACAGGGCTATTGTAAGTGTGCCCGTGCTGATAGGTTGTCCAGATGTGGCCCTCCTCCAAGCACTAGCTGCTAGCTTCTGAGGGAAGCATGGCGGAGGCCAAATTCAGTATATAGCTTAAGACAAAGTGCATAGCTAGATTTGCTAGAAACGAACTTCTGTCTGTAGGATCTCTACCTCGACCAGACTCGACCCATCCTCGACCTGTGTCTACACCTTGTGGAAAACGAGGGCTTGTCTGTGAGGCGCAGGCATTTTGCGTCCAGCTGGCTCTTCAACTTTATGGTGGTCTTTGCCACACTGGCCAACACAGTGCTGATTGGATGCTTGGTCACCATTCTTTCGGACATTGGTTGAAGAGACCAAGGGTGGAACAAGAGTGAATTGAAAGCACGTTGAATGGACCCTCTTGCTGGAGAGTTACAGACAAGCCGTGTGATTCTGAGGATTGGAAAGCGATTATTCAAGAGGCATCCAGCGTGACACCTAGAGGATCTAGAGAACATGCACTTGCAGAGGTGGAGAAGGTGCCACATTGTTTTTTTTTGCTTGGCTAAGCAGTGCCAAGCAGCATTTACAGAAGTTCACTCAAGGCATCATGGGTTTTTGCAGCAAACCGTTGAAAGGTTTTTGGGCCTTCGCTCTCGCTATTAGGTTGGAGGCCATTGCTATTAGGTTGGAGGCCCTATATACAAACATGTTTCTTCTACATTGAGTGTCGTGACAATGTAAAGGTCTTCGAGTCTATGAGGTGTCTTCGAGTCTAGGAGGTTTAGACTTGCGAGGAAGTAGCTAAGAGTTGCTGAGGTTGGCGGATCGTCTTCCTTGGTTCATCTGCGAGGTCCTTTTCACAACCTTCTTCTTTGTGGAAATGTTGCTGAGGATCAATCAGCTCAACTGGGCATCTGGTCTGGATCAATCAGACGTCGGTGGACAGCGAACCAGCGACGGTGTTTGCAAACGAGGACGCGAACAGCGCGAGTTCAGCGAACCATGCGAACCGAGGAATACTTCGTGGACCCTTGGAACGTCTTCGACTATTGCTTGGTCGTGTTCAGTGTGGCAGACCTCGAACCTTGGCAGACCACTGGTCATTCTGAGACCTTTTCAGGTTCTTGCATGGCAAATTCAAGTTTGGCTTTGGATGAGCCATGCAGCACCCCAAATCTTGTGCATTTTTGCATCATCTTTGTCAGCGAGAGAGTTTCTGTGGGTACTTCGAGGTTTAGTCTTGGCCTCAAGCCTCCAAAATTGTTCCAAGTTTGTGGGGGTCGATTGCAATGTTGAGTGAGGTTTCAGTTGAAGCATGGATTTTTTGAAGTTCCTGAAAGTGGTCTGAGTTTTGCACTTAGTCCATGAAAGAATCAAAGAAGCGGCTGAAGGTCGTAAGTCTGGCAAAGACTGATGGCAGCGGATTGAGATGGGCGGCCTCCCTGCGTGACCTGGCATTGCTTCGTCCGTGGTCCCCCCCGTCCATGGTCCCGTTGAAGTCATTCCGCTTGAAAAGAAGTGGGGCAGACGTGATCCCGACGAGGATAGACTTGTCGAAAACTCGGAAGGCCGGAAAACCGCAACGATTCCCAAGGAAGCTTTATTGTTCCTAGAAAGCTTCTAGTTACCAAGAAGCTTCAAAGACATACTAAAAAGCTTCTTGTTACTACAGGTTAAACGATTCCCAGTGAAACGATTCCCAAGGAAGCTTCTAGTTACAAAGCTTTATTGTTACTAGTAGCGATGGCCTTCAACCTAATAGCGCTGTAGTTACTAGAAGATTCCTTTGTTGCAGAGTGAAACGATGTGAAACCTGTTTGCTGTTGGACTCCAGGTGTCTTCCGCTCTCTTCGCATTGCACGGGCCATACGGCGAGAGAAGGTTGTGCGCGGGCTCTTCCGGATCACACAAGGGTGGCCCTGGGAAGAACGGGCGGATCGAGGGGGAACCAGCACGGAACCGGCGGGATGTCTGGGGATTTGTTGCGATCCGAAACGCGACAACTGAGGTGATTCCCTTTTTCATCCTTTTTCCGTTGTGTGATGAGGGAGGCTATCGAAAGGAAAGACCTGGGGATTATTCAGAGCTGCATCAATGTGGGAAGGACATGTAGAGGATTGAGAGCTTCTTTTCCACACGGATTGAGCAGTAATTATATTCTTTATTCCAAAGATCTTTTCAACGATCAGACTTTGATTGCTAGGTTCATTGACGCTTTACCCTCGATGCTTTGGACCTTTCTAGCAGCGGTGCTCTTCGCGTACATGTTGGCGATTGTCTTAACGGCCTTGGTCGGCTCGGACCTGGCACCTTGGACTGGCTGAAGCAAACTCGCGCCGACCGGCCGGGGAGTCACTTTGCAGAGTTTTGAGGCTTCATATAAAAGAAATAGTATTTTTTTAAAATGGACATTTAATTCTATTCGAAATCTAATTAACTGGTAAGAATGCTCCTAGTAGCGATGCCAGGAGCCCCTAGTAGCGTTCTTGCTCCTAGTAGCGATGCCCTTTGCTCCTAGTAGCTCCTTATTTTCCTATCTCTTTTTATTTATTTTTGTTAGAATCCAAAAGCTAGTTAAAGCAATCTTGTTAAAGCAATCTACCTCACCAAGCGCCCTTGGCGTTGCACGTGCTCCAGCCAGGCGGCACGCGAACTTTGGGAGAACGCCGAAGTGTATTGTGGCACCGTCACGAGGCCGAAGTGTATTGGTTATGTGTAACCAGCTACGAACGCAACAAAGGGCATCGCTACGAACGTAGCAAGAAGCTAATGAGGGGCGCTGGCATTACTACTAACATAAGAAGCTACGAACGTAACAAGGGGTCCCAAGACACAAAACCATTACCGAAAAGCTCCATGACTCAAGCTTGGCCTCTTGTGAGGCCGGAACGTCGGAAAGACACATGGATGGGTTTGTGCGCACTTTTCATTGCTACTAAAAAAATCTGTTTTAAAGATTCTGAATATATATATATATAGAAGTTAACAACCTTGTTTAATGGATCAAATACAGAATTATTGAGTCGATCAAGTCGGTTCCCGGTTGACAATTCATCGCGCACAGGTCCGGTGCCGAGTATTCAGTATTGGGGATTTCACTTGGAATCAGGACACCCATCAGTCATCGAATAAGGCTGTGAGGCAGAACTTTGAGACTACCACCTGACATGGCTGCACAGTTGGCTGATGGCTCACAAGACTAAATTCAAGCCCTTTTGCACCTTAAACAAGTTTCATTCTGGACATTAGGCCACTGCGTGTGTCAAACGGGAACCCACTGTTGTGTCAAATGGGTTGTACCCCATCACCCAGTATCGCTTCCGAGTTGAGGGGTTGAAAGCGTGTGGCCAGGTCCTTCTTCACGATCCTGCAGGAGACCGTTTTTTTCTTGTGACATTTGGGCATGTCTCAAAGCCTTCAAGATTTGAGGTCCATTGTGCTGGGTTCTGAATCTTGTGATAGACGACTGGGATTTGGTCATGAGATTTGACAGGTCTCAGCAGATTTGACCAGTGGTTTTTCACCCAGTGCCCCGACAGTGACCCGTCTAAAAGCAGCAGCTCGCAGATCATGACCTTGGACTGTGCTGCTGAGCCGATTCTTAGACCGATGTATCACGCTGCTCCTCTTGGACTATTGGCTGCTTGGAAGCGAGGTGACAGGCAAGTGAGCACACGATGGCTTGTACCAAGTTGGATTTGTTTGTTAAATGGCTTTTGCAGCACCAAGGTCACATTCTTGAGCAATCTGATTCTGAGCTTCGGGGTGTTGAACATTCTCTTTGCAATCATGGCACGGGGCTCACTGGGATGTGGGATTTTCGAAGAAAGAAGAACAACTATGACAGATCCAATCAAGCCTGTTGATATGGGTCTCGGACTCGTCATCTAGTTTTAGGGCCTTAGTGACACATCGGATTATTTCTAAACTCATGATGGTTCGAGGCAAGCCTTTACATTTGTAGTTAGGGAGTCAACCAAGCTGTGACTTGAGCAGCAGTGTTGTTTTGTTCCAGATTGCTTCGCATAGATCTGCCCTACCCAACTAGGGGTTGATGGCAGTGTGTTTGACCTTCTGAAACAGCACCCGCTCGGCTAACAGAGCATAGTGTGGTTGGAGATCGACCGACCTGACTTTCTGCGAACCATCGGTGGCCAATTGCAGGTCGAACGGCACAGCCCTCAGTGGAATGCTTCGCTATGGTAATCGGTTTCCAGAGGTAGAAACTGATTGCCCAGACAGAGAGCCGATGATTTGACAGATGAAACAAGCCAATGATCTAGGTGAACACCATGCGAGCAAACCTGGGTTGTTCTTTAAGCCAATGCAGGTCTCCTCCATTTCGCACCTCGCAAAGTCAAATTGAAGCCCTATCTGACAGGCATATTCTAAACGTGCCTCCTGACTTTTTGATGCTGATGTTGCTCCTGCCCCTGAATACAAAGCGGGCAGTGTGAAGTGGAGTATAGTATAGTGGAGAATATCTCCTGGTTTCAATAGTCAAGAGAGCTTGATGAACATCAGATCCACGCACTTGCTCCTTTTCTCAGCAGATTTTGAGAAAACATGAAATAGCCAAGTTGCTTCGAAGTAAATAGCAGCCTTGACATAGGAAGTCTTTTTGCATTTCTGTCTTTCCCTCAGCAAAAGTGGTCAGTTGTTGCTGCTAGATTTCGATTTGTGACAGCCCAAGTCTTTGCCCTCCAAGGATGATGATCATCTCCCATGAGACCCAGGACACTTCAGCAGTCCTCCAGCAGTGCATGCATTTGATTGGTCGGGATCAGTAGCGCGACCATCCGATGAGAGAGAGCGCACCATGCTGGAACTGGTGTTCCGGTGAACTGGTGTCTTGCCTACGCTGGGCTTGTTGGTCCATGTGGCCCACGTTTTGGGAAACGTCCCAGGAGTCCAGAGCGACGGCTGTGGCCAAATCTGAGCGGTTGTTGATGACCGCCATGCTAGAGGAATTCACCGATGCTTGGACTTGGACCGGGTAAGATGCGGGGCTGCAGATTCGCAGTGTTGGTGCTGGCGCTTCTCGAAAGAAACTCCAAGGAAACGCTCTCGCGGATCTTTTGCTCTCTGTTCAGCCTGTTCCTTACTTTGAAGATCTTGAAGGCTTGCTTATCAGCCTACAACGACCGAGGAATACGACCAAGACTACAACGGCGAGTTGGACTTTTGGGAGTTTCGGAAGGTGCTCAGGCGCGGTTTTTGAAAGCAGAGTGGACAATAAAACAAGAAGGGAAGACAAGCGCAAGTTTTGCAGGTGATTGTTTTGGCAGTTCTTTTTGCAGCTTACAGTGCCACACGAGCACGAAGTTAAAGGTGTGCAACTCCGAGGGTTCTTGCTTCGTTGCGTTGTCTTACCAAAGTGGAACCAGCTCAAAGCTTCCTTAAGAAGCAGCTTCCTTGCAAAATTACAGAACAAAGATCGCAACTATCCACCTTTCATGGCACCGCTGGGTTGGGAGGACTTTTGGCCAGAGCGCAACTTACACAAGTGTTCGGAAGTGACAAACGTTCGGGTGTAGAGTTCCCCTGTTTCTTGCCCATTGTTCGGGGGCGAACAAACAATCGCTAAAGAAGACACTCATCAGTTTGGATCTTTCAAGGGGGGCCCTTTTTCAGTGGAAAGGGTCAAATGCGTGGTCTTGAGATATCAAAGACCGAACAGCGTCAAGTTAGTGTCGACGTTTCCTAGCCAGGCAATCCCAGTCCAAAGCAAGTGGAGGGAACGTTGGCAGCGTCCATGCGTTGAGGGAAAACCTAGCGGACCGAGTTCGGTTCTGCAGATTTCTTATCATGGGATTTTGCATCGAGCGTCCCTGCAAAGCACAACGAGTAGAGTTCATTGGAGGTTTAGGTCTTCCAGGTTCTTCCAGCTCCTTCCTGTGAGGGGCTTCCCATCAGGACGCCTGGGATGACCAAAAAGCTGTCCTTTCTGGGTGTCGGACCGGATGAGGCGGAAAGCTTGCCACTTGGAGCCGTTGCCGTTTGAAAGGGTAAACTGACTATCGGTGCGAAGTCGGCGAAGCGTGCAGACCGTGGTCTTGGTAGAGTTTGGCCCGTTTGGTCTTGTGGAGTGGAGGTGAAAGGGGATGGGTGTTTTTATAGGTAAACAGCGGATTTTTTCCTGAGCTATCCGAGGGGAATGTCCCTGTAGGGTGAGCTGAAGAGATTTTGCTGACCGATCATTGGTACCTCAGCACAAGGTTCGAGCTCATGGACGTTGACAAGTCACTTGGCTTCGCCCAGCGAACTGCGAGTTGCCGAGAGCGATAGACATGGTGACCCAGGGTCATCACCTTCAGAGGATGTAAACCAGGTCCTTTACAACAAACAACTACTGTACATAGCGTTCCTTCCATGGAGCAAGCTCTCATGGCCGCCCCAGGAGCGGATCGCTAACACCCATCGAATTCCTCACGGGCTTGTTCAAGGCGGAGATCGGAGGATGGCCAAACGGGGCAGCGATATTGGAGCCCAAGACACGGACCACTCGATATTTCAAAACTAGACTAGAAGCATATGCTTCAGGCATGCATCAAGTGTATGATGGTCTGCCTTAAAGACTACAAGATTCAGCTGAACTCTTCTGCATTCCATCTCACAGATGGTGATACTGTAGCTCTCCATTTGCAAACAATTGAGCCAAACTTAAGAGTCGTCACCGAGGTTCACCAGCCAAAACCCGTTTGTTTTGTACAAACCCAATTGGCCTGGACTCAAACATTCTTGCTGTCAATTTCATGTGACTGGTCTTTGCGCGCCGCTCGCTTCAGGTGAAAGGCCCTGCAAAAGGAGCGGAGAAAGATGCTTGTGGCAAGCTGCAAACAGTTCTGAACATTGAGCAAACAGTTGTCAAGCCCTTAAAATCCTGCACACCGGACTTGTGCACTACTGACTACGAAAGGAGGACTCCGGAGGACTCCTAGGGTCCTAGCTGGAAGCAACGAGTGGGAATTTCTTAATCTCTGGTTGTACCTGATTTCATTTATCAACAATGCAACAATAGTTTGGTTGTATGATTCTTGGCCAGCTCAACTGCTATCGTCGCGCGTTTTGAGAAGATCTCTGGCAGGACAGGACCTTTGCCGTCTGATTACGCTCGCGGAGAAGAACAAAAGGATGGCCACGAAATGGGTCACCAGAGTAAGGCCGCGCAACGTCCGAGTCTTTTACTAACATGCGGCCGGGGGTGACAAGCATCAAAACGCCTTATGCTTGAGACAACTGAGACAATGGAGCGCCCAACTTGAGGGCGAAGAGGGCCCCAAGACTGGATTGTTTTGGAGATCAAGGAACACCCAAATCTTCACCGATTAGAGAAAGTCCTGGAATAGCTGGCCGAACATGGGGCCTAATGTTTGGACTAAGGACTGAAACCCAAGTCAAATACTCTAGCATAGATTCATAGATAAGACACAATGTGCACAGTGCACATCCTAAATTTAGAATCCTCTATCATGCAGTTCTTTTTCCGCAGCTCCTGTCCAGGCACTTGAATGCCAAAGCGGATGAGATCCAAGTGCGGCTCAATGGGGTTTGTGAGCCCAGCCTGGATGGGAAGCAGTCCACAGTTCCACTGTTCCATACTGTTCCCAAATCCCTCTAGAGCCATTTGGGCAGGGTTCAGAGCTCCCCAAATCAGTCGAAAGGTGTCGGAGCTAACCTGCCCCCAAAAGACGCTGAACAAGACCTTCGCCTTTCGACTGGGTCGATGGTCTGACACTTTCGGCTGGCCGGACGGACGGACTGCAGTGCCTCTGGTGGCGGCGGTCGTAGGCCACGGTCGACCAAGGCAGGACGACACCTGGCCAGAGAACTGCGGGGACTGCAAGAGGCAGACTACCGAAAACTGATGGCGGAAAGACACGCTTCTTTTTTTCACCAACAGCGAAGCTTAGGGGTCTTCAGCCATAATTACATTATAAAAGACATCGGAGCAGGTTCCAGAGCAAGTTCCGGAGCAGGTTCCAAGCTACGTTCCGGAGCTTCTAGAACAGGTTCTGGAGCACAATAGAGATATACTGTGTCTCTCCGACGCGCTCAGGTGTTGCCACACCGAATGGTGTCATGTTGGTATGTTTGTATATAATGCGGTCACTCGGACGTGTACACACGCTGGCTTGATGTTGAAGATATGGTGGCGTGGTGTCACGCCGGCACATTGTCAGGGTGTCATGCTGACATGTTGTCATGCTGGCTGGCGCGGCATGGGGTCACGCGAACATGCCGACACGTGGTCACGCTGAGATGCTGAAGTCGGGTCGCGCAGTCGTGCTGACTTGCTGGCAGGCTCCAAAGTGGGTTCCAGAGCAGGTTCCCTGCCTCTTGCTTGTTGCGAATGGGCATGCTTGCACATATGTGGGCACATGACATGTGTTGTGCCGATGTATTGCCGTGTTGGTATGCTTGCATGGCACATAGGAAAGGCTCTCGGTTTTGAAAACAAAGTAGTTGTTTGGCAAAACTTGTGGGTGAACCTCTGATGTTGCCTTTGCCTAAAGGCGGGCTCATGCCACTCTTCGATGGCGGGATGTCTCATGATGATGTCTTCACTTTGGCGCATAGTCGCTTTGAGGGTGACCTAAAAAGTCCGCAGTCGGCAAATGCCGGGTTCGACTGGAATTGAAGGGAAGCTCATTATCCCACGCTTTGCGGGGCACTTGGAAGTGCAAAGTGCTGGGAAGTGCAGGCCTCGCATCGCACGGATCTCACTTGGAGCAAAGCCGCGCAACGGGAGATGGTGATAAAGGAGCCATGTGCCGAAGGGGATGGGTGAAGTTTGCACCTGTCGAAAACATAACATGAGAGAAATCCCAAATGAAAATGATTTCCTATTACATTTCATGGAGTCATTGGGGCGAATGGTGCCATAAACTCATCGGGTTTCTTTTGAGGCTCCCAGGTGTGTATCCTCCCTTTTTCGGGACCAAAGGGTCGAGCACTAAGTCTGCGTATGAGCACATGGCAGGACAGAGATCTCCACGATCAGGTGTGGATTTTTTCTTCGCCCAAACCACACTACGAGCCTGCTCAGTTGCAACTGAAGCTTTTTGGAGGACAAGTGCAGTAGGAACAGTCCAGACGATGCTACCTGTAAAGATTGTAAAGACACCAAACGAGACTTTCATGGGCAAACAGTTCGAAGATGCTTCAAGATGTCCCTAGTTCTGAGCTGTTCGGGGAAAGTACATGAACGCTTGTAGCAGCACTTGTTCCATTCTCCAGTCGTTTTTACCGATCGATCCATGCGCAGTTGGACTTCCCGACCATGGAAGATGCACCAAAGCGTCCGTCAGAAGGCTATCATGTTGAGGACTTATAGAAGTCCAAGAGATGGTGTCTGTGCCCGAGCCAAAGGGTTTGAGCGTTTGGATGCGTTTGGCATGATCAGAACAGCTAGAACTCGATATCTGGTAGACTCATAGAGGGCGGGAACAGGTGGCTTTTTTGTCTCACTGCCTCTCCTTAAAGGATGTAGGTACCATGTGCACCAGCAGCGTGCTGGAGATGCAAGGCAAATTGCAGCTAGGCAAGTGCCACAAAGTGGCACCAATTCGACCCGAGCGAAGGTGTATTTCTGTCGGGACGGAGATGGGATTGGAGTTGTGAGAAGGGCTTTTTCTGAGACCTGTGCCGTTTCCTACACTGCGCCCCGAGAGCGATGTGCCACCGTTTTTCTCAGCAGCAAAAGAACAAAAATATCGAACCCCGTGAGACCGGTACAAAATTGGTTTCTTTCGGCTTTTTGGGGGGTCCTGGGCTCTAAACCTGCTTGCAGCTTTGTACCAGATATTTGTACCGCACTTGCAAAGGTGATTGAACGACCGTACAAACCCGCACCTAGTAGGTGCGGCTTTGATCCAGCGCAGCACGAGTTCAAGAGGAGTAAAGAATCAGGAATGAAGCGCTGACCACTGAGATACTTCATACTTGTGACCACTGCTGCCGTGTGAGTTGCCCGGGTCGTCAGGACATACTTAGCCTTGAAGCAGGAAAACCAACTGGTACATTGGTACATGGAAAAAAGTATCCATGGACGGCTGGTTGGGTGTTTCCATGTTGGCCACAGACACCTGCCAATCCCCACATGAACAACATGTGAAGTTGAACAATCAAACAGCCTGAAGACAGCAGCATTGAAGATTGGTGCCATGCACATTCAGAACCCTACACTGGACCGGAGGAACATTTTTCTAATGTTCTTTTGATCATATAATGAGTGTTTGAAGCCGACAGCTTCCCCGCAACACAGTCGCTTCCCACATCAGAAACAGAGACGAGCAGATCATTCATGACCCAGGCTGCCCCTGTCTCTGAAACTTGGCGATGAAAGAAAAGCGAGAAAGATGGGGGGGCGCAGTGCAGCCCTGGGCAGCCCTGAGCGGCCTGGCCAACGGCCACATCTTTTTGGTGGTTGCTCCATGTTGCTCCTCTTTTCTACCTGAAACCCAGTGGAGTTTGAGCCATGCCCAAGGCCCAAGGAGGTCCTACTGTAAGTAGGTAGGGTCTTGGGCAGGGGGATTGTGCCAGATCTGGAGCAGGGGTTTGGACTCGTGACACCTCCGTTCTGAATGCCTAGTGCTTCTGAAGGTTGAGATTTTCGGACGACTCCAAGTTGATCTGTGCTGGGGCTTTTCATCCTTGAGAATTGGACAAAGATTCTAGTTCTGAAAGCTACTTGTTCAAACGATGTCGTTGAGTACTTTGAGTAGTGTAAGGCCCGTTGACATCTTAGACGAGACTTGATCAATCGGGCAACGTGAAAGCCCTTGGCATGTGAGGCCTGAAAGAATGATGGCGGGCGCAGGTGCGAGATGCACTTGGGGTGCACGCAGAGCCTTGCTTGGACTGGTTGGAGGTAAAGAGGAGGATCATAATCATGCCTCACAAAAGCATGTTCAATTCTTATTAGAGACCGGATTGAATCAGGTTATGAGGTCAATCCTAATATGCACAGAAACATTTAGCGCCTGTTGACACATAATGACCATATCAGGGGAGGATTCCTCTAAAAAGCTGCCATCCTGTATTTGGGTTTGCAATTTTCATGCAGTGCTCATGTTGAATGACCGTGTCGAATCGAATTAACACGTATGCTGCCCCGGACCCCATTGCATGGTTTGCAAGTTACACATCCTCAGCTGCCCTAATTTTGGTCCATTGGAACCCAACGCATATGTGGTGGGTGTGAATTGGACTAGGGAGACCCTAAGATGCCTGTTGAAGAGAAAAGATATTGACAACAGCGAATTGGTTGGGGAGTTTCTCGAGTTCAATACACACCCATCTATATAATGTTTTCACAAGTGCTTTTCCTCAAGTTGCGCAGCTAAAGTGCAAAATACCGGGGCCGAGATATTCACACACAGCCCAGAAGAACGGCTTTGCAAACAGACCACACCGACACTCTATGGAAGGACAAACCGCTGAAATGTTTTTTCAGTTGTTTAGCGGCTTGAAGTCATTGCTTCATGCCCAAAGGGTGGGGGCGGTGGCCCAGGTGGCGTTTCAAGGGCCTCCGCATCCTCGGCTGCGACGCCCTACGACCCGGCTCTTGGCTCAGAGCATGACCCGCAGGGGAGCGTATGGATAAGTCATGAGAAGTCCATGGGATGGCTAAAATTGACTCCTGAACCATGAGAACCTATGAATTGGACATGCTTTTTTTCATACATCCCGCTATGACATGAGCAACGCAACGTCCTTGGGGTTGCTTCACCATGACAGCGTTTCTGGAGCCATGGGCGTTGGATCTAGTCAATGAACTGACCAGAGTGCCTTACGTCCTAAACGATTGGGTTCCTGACCAGAGGGTTCTAAAGACCAGGTTGGGCCAACCACTCAGATTCTGACCTGGGATTTTTCGGGCTTGCCGGCTTCCCCTTGTAGCCGCTGCGCAGGTTTCGAGTTCGCCCCCAGTCTGCCTCTCCTGTCGGTTTGAACCGTGGAGACCAAGGCCAGAGCGCGGGAAGCCTTGAAGAGTCCCATGGCACCGTGCCTGGGTGAAACAGCGTCCGATCGTTTTGCTCCCTTCGTAGCGATGCCCTTTGCTCCGTTAGTAGCATCCGATCGCTCCTAGTAGTATGGTCAGGAGCCCCTAGTAGCTTCCTGTTCCTAGTAGTAAGAATGCTCCTAGTAGCGTCCTTGTTCCAGGCCCAAATGCAGGGCCACGCGGAAGTCAGGGAGCGGTGGATCTGGGGAAGTCAGGGAGCGGCGGAATTTGTGTCGGGTGGCAGGGTGATGACCTGAAAGGATATATCATATGACCTGCATGGTAACTACAACGAAAGAGGAAGTGCCTGAACATGATGATATTGGAATTGTAGTAGTACTTGGGGACACGTTTCCCTAGATCCTAGATACACCACGCATGCTAATTCTGTGCGAAAGTGCTTTCATGCTGAAGCCCCCCTGATCAATTCGCAGTTTCTATTTCGGTCAGCACCTTACAGTGAAAGCACCTTTCCATGTTCACACTGAGGCAGAGCCCCGACTGGGCGGACATCGAAGATGACTGGGACTACGACGAACAGCTCCAGGAGGATGTCTTTCTGGGTAAAGTGGTGCGGCGCTCAGAGTGCCGGCTGCGACAGCGACCCATTGCTTGAGAAGCCGTCGCTCTTGGGCGACTCGAACCATGTTCCGCGACTCAAAACGATCTATATAATCAATACAGTTGGTTTCCATGGAACCATGCTTTCTACATTACTCTATCTATTTGTGAGGACCCTGCAGGAACCTTTTTTATGGCCAGATGGCCCCACAACAGTAGAGAATCAGACATTCTATGACCCATGCAGAGTGCCCGTACTATATCAAGACCCATGGGACTTATGGCTTTGGTGCCCATACTTTCTATGATCAGTTTTTCTTGCTGGGACTGACTGATTAATTAGCTGTTTTTGCTGGCCCACTACCCTCTTACCGCTTTTTTCAGGACCTATCAGACAAGCTGGAGGCACTTGGGTGCTTGGAAAATCACATGTTCGATTGCAAGATTGGCGGACATACACACATGTCACTGTCCGTGTTTGTCTATTTATGCCCGGCAGCCCGACTTGGGTCTCATTGCCCATTACAATATATTTACCCTTTTAAACCAAGAGTTTCTTCCTTTTGCTTTAGCAAATTTGTGTTTGGTGATGGTGGCAGGCATCTCCCGAATCAGAGACTTGTTTATATAGCTTATTCTTTCCTCAATCTGGAGTCCAGGTTCAAGTCTTTTTCTTCCGACCACTCGTTCCGGCGCTTTCACAGCGGAACGAGCATCAACATCCAGAGGTTCAGGGTTTCAGCCAAAAGAGGGTTTCGCGACTCTGACAAGCACGAGACCCAACAAAGGCAAATGTGCACTCGGTACTTCAAAGGCAAACGTGCTGACGTGCTGGCCAGACTGCCCAGATGCTATGGGTCCTTAAAGCTGAGACATCGTGAAAACGTTGCTCCGAAATCCTGCCAGATCAAGAACACATTCTACAACATCCCTGTTGACTCGTCTATGAGAGAAGGAGATGATCCGACAGGCCTGCATCTCAGACTGTAACATACTGTAACTAATAAAAGGCACACACGATATTTGTCATTACTAGAAACAAGAAGCTACTAGTAACAAGTGCATCGCTTCTAGTAACAAGTGCCTTACTAGTAGTAACAAGAAGCTATTAGTAACAAGAAGCAATTAGAAAAATCTGCGTGGGGACAGGGCAGATTTGGACAGAACTGGTGGTCTGCAGCTCCGTGCGCCAGGTCAGAACTGGTCGTCTGCACCTCCTGATTTGGTGCAGAAGTCATGGCGTAGCAGGTGGGGCGTTGTCAATCCAGTGTGGCGGTCGCTTTTGTTGGCGCGTTTTTGGATCTTCATTTTGTTTGGAAGGAAGCTACTAGGAACAAGTGCCACGCTAGTAGTAACAGGTGCCTTACTAGTAGTAACAAAGAAGCTACTAGGAACAAGTGCATCGCTAGGAAGGCTCTGAACGAAGGCCTCGCACCGGGAGATGCACCGGGCCAGTGTGCTTCGCCAGGTTTCCCCGGATGGAAGCGGCGCACAATCGTGGTGAGTGTAAGTCCGGAATCCTCAGTGGTCAATTTGTCACCTTTATGACTTTATGGGTGTCTCACAATAGGGGACCTTCAGCATGGGACTCTCCACTCAAAATTGCAATGTAAATGTGATTTGTGAGCCTGCAATTTGGTGAAAATACGGTAGTCTGAGCAAATTTGGCTCCCGGCCAAAGAGCAGAGATGGCTGCCTCGTGGCCCCTCAGGCCATGTGCATATTTCTTGTACAAGCCGGATGGATGTCGCAACAGTGCAGTGCTCAGCCAGGACATCAATTTCACTCCGTGTGTCTTCGCAAGACAGAAAAGAAAAGTGCTGGACAACTGGAAACGATACTGCAAGAGCAAGATTGCATGAAGCACAGTAGAATTTGGTTGGAGGCCATCTCTACTAGATTGGAGGCCATCGCTATTCGGTTGGAGGCCATTGCTATTAGGTTGGAGGCCATTGCTATTTGGTTGAAACATGGGACACGGAAGTGCCGCACGTCCCAATCTCTCCCTCAGCTTGACCACCTTTGCGCTTCTTCAGGTGACCAGTGCCCGTACTGCCACCTCTGTCGGAAAGGACCTTGACCTCTTTTGAAGCCGTTTACAGCAGATCCTTGCAGCCAACGAGTAACATGCTACGACATGATATGGTTTTGAAGTCCTGATAGGTAATTACCAATCAAACTCTTGATAGAAATGCGTAATCAGTAAATCCATGTATATATAGTTATATATATATATATGTAAATCCTCCAAGCGATCCTTGAGACGTCAAGGTTTTGGACTTGACCTGCGCAGGGGAGATTAAACGCCGCAAGAGGAAGAAGATCAAGGCACTCAAGGCCGCTACCATGGTAACTTGTCATTCACCATTGGACGAACAAGACATGAGATCCTGTCCCGCCCTCCTGGCTGAAAAACCTGGGTGGCCACTGTGACCAGATCGAGACGGTCCGAGCAGCATCTCCAGGCGGCTGCAGCAGCTGCAGGTGAGGCTGGCGAGGCTGACAAGGTGCCGTGTAGTGTGGACAGTGTGCCTCGGGGTGACGGACGATCTGAAAGGTGACGAGGGAGACACGTAGGGATGGTATTGACTGTGTTTTTGGAAAGTCTTTGTGTTTCTAGATTTTCTAGGTGCATTGGCGTCCACTCTCGAACCCAGTGAGCAAAGAAGGTTTCTAGAAAGAGATCAAGGTGATCAATAGGTGATCAATGCGATCTGGCATCCAGCGGTCATCTCACTTTTCAAGTGGCAGTCACCCAGTTGCCAGGACGGGAGCTCAGAAGACACTGAGCCGCCCAACCAGTGAGAGATATAGGACCAGATAGGATACTGTAGAAATGTTTTTGTTGGCCACTTGGCCATCAGCCTCAGCTCTGAGCCGTGGTTGCCTCCGGCATTCATGAGCAAAGGCCATTGTGCGTGCGAGCCATAGGGAGGCTCCAGCCAAGAATGAGCCCAACCTTTCTTCAAAGGCAAACCATGTTTTGCGTTTTGTGGCAGAAAGACTCCATGATGCACTCCAAGACTCCACCAGCCAGGCAGCTAAGGCCAGGGCAGCAAGGGGCCAGGTTGACGCCTGGAACTCTTGCAGCAGTTTTCACGCAAGAAGGCAAGCTATTCTTGCTCAACTGTCACCTTGACAGACTTCTCAAGGTTCAAGTTTTGGCTCCAAGACACAGACATGGCAGGAATCTCGGATTGTCTGTTTGCCTGCCATGTCATCGGACAGAACGAAAGCAATTGGATACGTGTTTGGATGAAGCTGCAGAAGAATCGTTGGTTTGTGTCGGGAAGGGCCACACAGCAATTGGTTTATGTAACACGTTGTATCTGGTTGTGCCAGAGGCCGCCAGGGCCAGATGCCTGCAGCTCTTTTTGATAAATCGTTGGGCCGGAAAGCGTGTCACGCACTTTGTTCCTGCAAAGTTCTGGGTGCTCTTGCGCCTGATGACTGGCTACAACCCAGGAGAGCCCATACCTCCCGGTCAATTTCTTGCATCCTTCAAAAACCTGCGCACTTGGACCAGAATTTTCAACCCGAGAACCTAGCAGGCAACTGCAAAGCTGGCCTAGCATTTCGGCTTGATGTTCTCTGGCTGCATGGCCAGTTGTAAGCACTGGTCAAGATTGGTCAAGTAGTCAAGTAGGCATCCTCGTTGAAACATTTTGAGCACTTGTGATACCCTTTGTGGGGTGATGATCCATTCTCAAGGCTTTTGGACATGAGTTCGCGTCCCACAGGTGCCGCCCCCCCCAAGGGTTTGTTTTGAGGTCTCAGTCAATTTCTGATGTCTCGAAGCAGACAGACACTGATCGCGGCGTGGAAGAAAATGGGTGTTGGAGTGTTGGACTGTTGGATATACCATCGACAGCGCGCTTTTTTCTGGTGTGGATTGTTTGATTTCTACCAAGAGGTGTCTCTCATTTGCAGAAGCTTCCATGTCCGGCATCACCGGTTCTACGTAAATTGAATCAAGGAGTTTCACATCCGCTTGCCGCACCTTTAGATCAGAATCATGTGCAGGCAACTCAAGGGGTGATGCACTCAGAAATACCTGCCTGCTATCTATGTAGCTACAGTGTACGATTAATATGTCAGAAGTTTTGGTGAAGAAATGACAGGCCAAAATAGTGTTTTGCATTCAAGCTTACTTTCCACACGCCATAATGCGTGGACTTCTTACAACTAGTTTTGACAATTCAACATCCACCCCAATCTATTTTCCAGTTTCGACCACGATTCCGCAATGCTACATGTGACTCGGCTTGCAAGCAGCACCTGTAAGACTGGCTCCTTGGAATTCCAGTTCCGATGTTCCAAACGTCGCCATAGGACACCAAAGGAAGGTTTGGAGCAACGTTGCAAGACCCATGTCCATACTTCATGTAGAAAGGAGTGAAGAATCTCTAATCCAGGATGACATTGTTACCTTTCTTATCCTTTCTTTAAAGTTTACCATCTATTGTTTACCCAACCTGGTAGAGGAGGTTGGGTCAAGATGTTGCAAGCCAGGTGAGGCATCCCACGCTCTTCGAGCTGGATCGTGTTTGGTCCCAAGAATTTCAGATTGGAATCCAGGATTACATCAGATGAGAACAGAAGTTTGTTCTCAATCACACAAACCGAAGGATTTGTAGAAAAGATCTGTTTTTTTTTTGACAAACTCTTTACGCATCTTGAACTGGAGGCTCTCAAATCCTTCCTGGCCTTTGCTGGTGAGGGAGTGTTCACGTTGGTGTCGGCTGAGGTCATTGAGGCCAACAACAGCCAGAAACGACGCCAGCCAGTGGCTGCCTTTGGAGTGCGTGGGAGGTAGCTAGTTCCCGTTGTGACATCCTTGTGCTTCGCCAGCGGTTTGGGGTAGGAGTCGAGGCAGAGAGCAAAAGAGAATTGACCATTTCCATGGCTTCCTTCAAGATGCGATCAGTCATGAGTCATGACCTTTAATATATTCATCTTAGATTTTCTTGGATTTGCTACTGCAAGGATTTCAGTATATCTTCATTGATGTTGGTGATCTTCACATCTAGCGATATGACACCAGAAAACAAACTACTGCATGATTGGAATCTATCTATCTATCTGTCTGTCTGTCTGTCTGTCTGTCTATCTATCTATCTGTCTATCTTTTTTTCTTTATTTCTTTATAGTAATACATTTATTCTTTCTATACGGCTGTTGTATCTTCTAACGAGAGTTGGTCTCAATCCACAAATTCAGGTGGATGCTGATCCATTGCATTCGTGTAAAAATATGAACCGATGCTCGTCACCTAAAAAATCAGGTGTTTCCCTGATTCAGGAGGCCCTCATGAGAAAGGACCAGGTGACCAGATGCTTTTTTAGACCTGTGCTACTCCGCATGAGGTGTGCCTCATGACTAAGTTCAGAGCTCAGTAGTCTTGTTCAGACGTGACGTGTTGTCTCTAGTCTGGAACCTCAAATGACTCTATTGACTTCAAGATTTTCTGTGGACGAGCTAGAGGCTTTTGGACATTCCTCTCCCTTCACTCCCTTCAGGTCTGAACGCTTTCCACCGATGACGAAAAGGCAGGATTGGGCAGCGCGGCAACGCCACCTGCACAGACCTGGCAAATCGCAGTTCTGGGCCTGTGATCCTGTCTTCTTTGGACTGATCAATCTTCCACCCAGAAAGGAGAGGTAAAGCTGCCGACAGCGTGTTAGAGACCGCTCGATCGTGGCGAAATGACTTGGTGAGCCGCCGAGCGCTTGATCTCGGCCCCAGACTCGGAGGCCCAAAGACTTGTCTCCTGGGCAGTACAAGACGGACTGAAACCTGGGAGCTGGGGGATCTAGGATCATTGCGTGAGGTGTGCCCAGGAAGATTTGCTGAGATTTTGGTTGGCAGACGGGGCTGTTGATGTGGCCAAGCAAACAAACCAATTTATTGCCCATATGCAGCTTCGACATGTTTCGACAACTGGCTACTGATTTTCTATCTTTGCTGTTTGTGTTCCAGTCGTTTTACTGGAGCACCAGTCTCCAGCCGGGTGTCAAGACATTCAGACTGCATGCTGAGTCTGAAATGCATTGCCAGCCTTTTACCGTTACGTGACAAAGAGATCCTGGACATTGAAAACGTGACATTTGCTGATCTGACCGCAGTGTTGTGTGATTGCTTATCAGCTCTGCAGGAAGTGGGAATGCCCCTGAACAAACAGACAGAGGCAGGCAGAGCTTTGTCGTCGATGTCCTTCGCTGAACCGCTCTCGAGTCTCCGAGAGCGGAGTTGACAGGGTCGGGTCGCTGACAGATGCTTCAAACGGGTCTGAGGAGTTCCCAAAGTTTTGAAGGACTGCCACTGCTTGATCTGTTTCTGAGTCTGCTACTCCTGAACAGGTCTTGGCATCCCGATTGACGCGAGCTGGGCCCTCATTGATGCGAGCTGGTGGCTGCTCGTTGGTGGTCTGCAATTGGCCGTGCTGAAGACTTTGTTTCGTTCCCACCATGTTTGTAGACATGACAGAAGGATTCAGCACACCTAGAGCCGCTAGAGGCCCGGTGAACGCTCTGCTATGCCCAACTGATACCCACCTCGTGATGTGTTCGAGGCGAGATCGGCACCTCGTTTTGCCTTCAGCAAAGAGAAGCGGGTGGACAAGGTACCGAAGCTGTCCGGAAGAAGAAATGCAAGTCTTCATTGGTTTGTTCCAGCTGTGAACTGTCACAAGTGAGATATTTGCTTCTGATCACGAAAGATAGCATCAGCTGCCTGACTTCTTCTTGGTTTAGCAGTTTAGCAATCAATTGTCATCTATACATGTAAGATCCTGTAAGTTTTCCCAGTTCCCTGAACATCGAGATTGAAGTAGTAGTCATTGTATTGTCCTTCGAATCCTGGTGAATCCTCATTGCAGCGTATGCTCAAAGCTGATTGGAATCCTCGATCCTGGTGCATCATCATCTCAGAAAAAATCTATGCTGTGTTTTGGGATCAGTGGAGAATTGCTTTCAATAGTGATCCGCAAGAACTAGGGCGCTTAGAGTTGAGATGACATACTTCTATAAACGTCATCGATTCTGTGGTGCTGTGGGGCGCGTAGAAGAGAAGGCTTTTACGTACAGCAGGGATGGTGTCTTTTACGATGGGAAGAGCTTTTGATTTGTTGACCTGTAGTCATGGTTCCTGCTCTTTATCGACTATATATATATATACACACACGGGGATTCGATACAACAGTGAAGTTGCAATAGTCCTTTTCGAACAACAGTCCTTTGCTTTGGACTCTCCAAACTAGCTACCTTTCGTCTACCCTGCGCAGCCCTCAAGCAGCACTAACTACAGTAACACTTTTTGGTCTGGAATTCTGTCTCCTGTTACGCGTGCTCTACGTTGATTGGTCAGGCAAATTACCTTTATTTATGCCCTTCACAATGGAGCCGAGCGGATGCCAGACTTTTTGGAAGAAGAAGCAGAATATTGCTTCATGAGTGACTCTTAGAACGGTTGACTGATACCTTTCAAGTTTGCACCATCAACAGCTCAGTTTTGGCCCATAACGACCAGGGCCGACCGATCAGAGAGCACTATCCTTTCAAAATGTGTGTCATCATCAATGAAGATGCCCATCTTGGCAGTTTCTCTTTTCTCACCGTTTCGACTCCGAATTCTATCAATTGCATTCAATTGCGACAACTTAACTATCCCTGTGAATAGGTGCTTTATCAAGTGCATTTTGGAAGATATTGACATTCGTCAAACATCTTCTCGAGTCCCTTTTCTGCAGTGCCCACTTTCTCCACAGCAGTATTTGGACTCAGCAGGCCTTGAACTTGTAGGCAGATTCGGTCTGGAGATTCATCCAGAGGTTCCTTTGGAGGTACTTGGTTACATTACAGATCGGACACAATATTTCAACGGAGGATTGACAGCTTCTGACTCAGAGACTGAAAACCGGTTTCAGGGTCAGAGGTTTTATTTTGTGCCGCTGTGTGCTGCATTGTACCAACGTTGCAGCATTATTTTTCTTTTCAGTAGTAGTCAGTATTAATTTCTTTTCAGTAGTACAGTAAATAGTTATTTTCGTTCCAAATGTGCTAGATTACAATATCAAGCAATTCCTTTTGAGCTACCGCCGCTGTCTAGTAACAGACCTTGTGCCATCCATTCTAGCAGGATATATTTTGGGGACGAAAAGGATTCAACAGGATGTATTAGATGGATTTTGATCAAGCACTCTCTCTTGGCATGCTTTACCTTGCAGGTAGACTGCCTTAAAGGCTTGTCCCCATCATTCATGAAGGACCCTATCGCCCGCGACTCAGTCCAATGGTAGATGGTCACAGCCCGTGAATGTTGGCGGGGAGTGCCCATTTACGCCTGTCAAGAACATGATCGCTGGGCTGTAAGACAAATGTTGGATTGAACTTTGATGATTCCGTAGTCAGCCACATGTCATGACCAAGAGCAGGACATGTTATGCCTTTTTGCAATGTTTTTTTCTTTACTATATATATATATAACTTCTACTTTAGCTGTACTGTGTTTGGACAGCAAACATAACGATTTCAACACGGTACTAATGCGTCGACAGGTTCTTGAGATCTGGTTGCTCAGGTTTCTGTCGTTTCCTTGTTCCTACCACTCCCCACCTGTCCCACGCGGCACATTTGATCAGCGAATCCAGTGGGCTCTACACTCTCAAGTCGGTCGGGTGCCGGGCTGTTCCAGCCGGCCTGGACCGGACTGGAGGGGTGTCTATGGAGCGCCACCGAAACCGCTGGCTCAAGCGTTTCATTTTGATCCGTGACTGGAAACCCTTACGCGCACGGACATTTCCATGCAGCTTGGATGCATCAATGTGTTGCTGTGGCACTTTGTCGTAAATAACCGACAGGGCTCTTGGCACTGATCACAAGATCGCAAGGATCCGTTTGGATCAGCCCCAAAACCAGGGATAGTGGGCTGAAAGCAAAGCTTCACCTCGTGTCAGGTGTCCGCAAACCTTCCGTTCACAGCACAAAACTCGTTCACATCCAAACCTGTTCACCTTGGCAAAGGTTTTTAACCGCCAACACCTTTTCACCTTGGGTTTTGGGGCTAGCAGAGACCAGAGGTCCGTGGATGGAAACATCGCGATTGAGCGATCCATTCGACAATGACAGGCCAGAGAAGTAGGAACAGTGTAGGAAAAACTGACAGTTACTAGGAACAAGAAGCTACTAGTAGCAAGGAAACTACTAGGTGGAGGCCATCGCTATTAGGTTGGAGGCCATCGCTACTAGTAGCAAGGACGCTGTGAGTCCGGAGAACATCCGAAAGACGCCTCACGAAGCGAGGCAGATCTTTTGGACACTGCTCTTCGCGGCTTCTGGGCCCAAAGGAAAGCTGGATCCAAGATGGGGTGATATGAGATGACATGTCTTGTTTTTCATGGTGTGCTCCTCCTCCTCCTCCTCCTCCTCTTCCTCCTCCTCCTCCTGCTCTCGCGGCCGCCGCCGCCGCTGCTGCTTCTTCTTCTTAAGGGGTTTACGAGTATCCAAGCAGGCCTTTTTGGAAGTAAGGTAGCTGAACAAGGCAATGAACATTGGGTGCTTGTCCCAAACTTGTTGCCACACCATGCCATGAGACCACAAGAGCTGATCAACCCAGCAAATCTTCGTTACTGGCTATGTGAAGGTATGAAACCCAAGTGTTGCCAAGCCCTGGCACATTCAGTATGGGAACCCTTGATGAGCTGGTGAATTGATGTGGTTTTCATTGCTCAGGTGTCCGCGGCTGGCAGCACTAGCCTGCCATGGACCCGGTGGCAGTTGGCCAGTGCCCCAGGCCTGAGAGTTTTGGGCAAGTTCAGGACCTGAGGTGATTCTTGTGTGGCCATTCGTGCCAAGAAGCGTCAGGCAACAGCACACCACAGAAGACCTTTATGGGAGCAGACCAGATTCTTCTGGTATGGTGATTTAGCCTGGACATGCAGAAACTAGAAACAAGCACAGTCAGAGATATCTGGATTTGCTGAGGTTGATCGCTCCGAGCAATGTGATGCGAAGGATCAGGGGAATCTTGGAAAGTTTGAGACCACCCAGCATGGGAGTTACGAGCACACGTTTTCCAAGAAGACTAGAACGTTCTGACAAACATAAGACAAAACAACACACTCATACTCATACCAGATCAAAAGGTTTCGCAAATGTTTGTAGCGCCCCCGGTCAAAGCTCGGCTGCCAAGTAAGTTGGTCATCCAGGCCTTCAAGCACACGCTGCAGCTGGAGTTTCGGAGGAACTTGATGAAGGTGAGGGCTGTCCAAATTCCAGAAGACGTGGATTGCCTCAAAGGAGAAGATGATCCAGGAACGTTGTGAAGGCTTTGCGGGGAGCAGATATGGATGGAATACGCAGGCAACCGAGGACACACGACCACCTCTCGAACCGACCTTCCCTTTCATGTACTCATTGTGGCTCTTCTGGTCCCGCAAGGATGCCATCTCTTCTCTCTCTCGGCTGCCCATCGTTTCTTTTTGGCCAGCCAAAATTGTCTCTATTTGCCTGCCACTTCTTCTCCAATCTCCCCTGCAGCAAGACTGGGCTGATGCATTAGCGCAATAAGCCTTCAAAGCTCCAGCTCCATCACTTGCCATCAGCTGCCCTATGCCCCACCTGCTCATTCCAAAAGGTCTCTCCATGGGAAGCTTCCTGAAAAACGTAGTTCCTCGCTGTGTACTCATGGCGGAGTCTCACCTGCCTGATCTTTTCGGCTGTAAGACAAGCTTCTCTATGACCGTCTCATATACATGCAATGAAGCAAATGTGGCCATGTCCAAGCCAATGCACCACTTTGAAGACTCGCCAGCTAGCCGGCCACTGCAAGTCTAAAGGTCCAGGCATTTCTTTCATCCATCTCCAAGTTGCCACAAGGCCCAGGAATTTTTGCCCTCCGACCGAAGGGCAACCACACCGCGAAATCCACGTTAAGGTAGCTCATGATGTAGAGGGTCCATTTGAGCATCGGTCGGCTCCTCCTCTTCCTCTTGAGGAGGAGCTCCCACTAACGCTGAGGCCACTCATGCAGCTTCGTAGTCCGGCATCTTTGTTTCCGAATCATCTGTTTGATCCACTATACCGGCTTCAGGACGTCCTTTTTTGCAGCTCTTGCGCTCGACGTCGCCATTGTTGGAGTTGACGTGCCTCCTATAGCCATGCCAAGGAGCTTGTCTTCAGCCAAGGGCTGTCCGTGAACTGGGTAGGATCACCTCCTCACCTGGATCCGAAATAACCCACAGCCGTGAATCGCAGCCAGCAGCCGTAATTCGTTCAGGGGACTGCAGTGAACGCCTGCCACAATGGATCTGGGATCCTCAGCTCCTGCAGGAGGTCCGGGACTGTAGCCACATCGAGGAGCACCATCAGCCGCACACGAAACCAAGTCCCTCTCAAAAGAAAGGGACACAAAAGAGGCTCCTCTGTGGTGGAGCCCCAACTTGGACTGGAGCAATCGCTTGTTCTGCAGCAATACAGTGTATGTTGATGTATGAAACATTTGCACAAACACCACAAGGCAGATTGACCGCTTCTCTTTGGTTTCTCAATGCAGAGAGGATGGAAATTCATGAAAACTCGGGTTTGGACATTTTGAAGATATCTTGAATTCTTCGAGTTCTTACTATTCCCAGGAAACAATATGGTTCAAACACACTGTAGCTCGGGTCTTTTCGGTGCAATCCTTGGATCTCAATCTCCAACCTCAATAAAGTGGGGTAAGCACACAGGCTCTGATGAAGTGAGCCATCAAACTCCTTTTCCATGGAGGTGCAGAGGTGTGTGGAGAACATCTACATTCACATTTGTAGAGTTGCTAAAATATTCTTTATCCGAAAGTGAGACACCAAACGGCCGTCGTTCCGCTGCGGCCGGGCACCCAACGCTCGGCGGGGCGCGCGCTTCGTGCACGAACCCGAGGAATCGCCTGGTCCAGACATCTTTGACCCGGCGCAAAGCCTCCGAGAACGTTTTAGACAAACGTCTTTACGTGGTGGGGACCAACCACAAAGCGGGGAGCCGCTGGGCCTGATGCGCTGCTTTGACAATGTGTTTGTCATTGAGGTTGCTCAAGACTCAAAACCATATATGCAAACGGAACAGTCTTTTGGTGCACGGATGTACATGGATGATACGACCATCAATTGATTGATCATGATCCTGGTTCTCCACATTTTCGGGAACTGCATGGACACTTGAACAACCACACGAATGCTGCAAAACACGGCGATGCTCGTTCAATCAGCAAAGGCCAGCTGCTTCGCAACACGATGCACTGGGCCTTTGATATCTTAGGCGCGTTCGACCCGGCTTACTTTCGCCAGTTTCTCAAACTTATTCCGCCTCAGTTGCTTCTTGAGGATCGTTTGCAGCACCCACTAAACAAATCTGTAAGTTGAGACGCAGGCTCTCACTGAGCTGCTTGCGCTTCGGTTTCCAGCACAGTTGTCCGACTAGAAGAGATGGCAGGGTGTTTCTCGCACAATGACGAAACAACCAAAGCCCTGCGGCTTGGAGGAAACAACCAAAGCCCTGCGGTTTTGTAGCTGCGGTTTCTTTAGGAATGCCATGTGACAGATCAGGAGTCAAGGGTTCAAGGAGGACTCATGAGTCATGACACATGGCATTCAGGCAAGAAGAGATCTGCCAAATGCCTTTCTCCCCTTCCTTCTTCTTACCAGTCGGTGAGAATTTTGCGGACGTTGAGAGACTTTCACAATTCACACACACGCACAGACTCCTGCTTGCAAGGTGCGACAGATTCTTGTCAGTATGGAACCACTGGCATGCCAATTACTTCAAAACCTGGTTTCAAGGAAGAGTGTACTGAGCACCCGACGCCGATCCGTTCTTGGGCTGCAGAGGGAGGATTTAGCAGAACATGCCAGTTTGGAAGGAGCGACGTTTGAAGTGACTACGTGCGCCTTACTCAGTTGCTCCAAGAAAAGCAAAGTACCCAACGGCCAGCTGCATTCCCAAGTGGCCAGCAGTGATGCCTTCCAACGAACTCGGTGAGGAAGGAAGTTCAAAGCACCAGTTTGGATGTAAGGGATATTATTGATTGGTTTCTGAATGGCTGGTTAGTGGCCAGGGTTCAGACACATAATTATTGGAGTATTTTCAGACATTGTTTCCGCAGCCATTTCATTGTGAAGGCAGCTGGAGTGGAACCAAATGCATAATGCTTCACCGATTACCGCACCATCGAAAAAGAGTGCGCCTGCTGTTTTGAGAGTGGAAGTCTCAGAAACGATATGAAACGTACAACCATAATTCCGCTCTTCGAAGTGTGAAGCAGGGTCCTGGTCTTGTGAACCTTTGTCTTATTTTCAACATGATATACAACGTGCAACAGCCATTGCAAACAGCCAAACAAATGCACCAGAAAGTACATCCCCCACCCCACAGATAGGGGCCTTGAGCAAGACACGTTGCGAAAAGACGCAACAAAGCAACAGAGCAAAAAAGAACAGATCAATCGCGACCTGCGGTTTTACCTTTCAGATGGCCTTTCCCTTCCCACTTTTTCTTGCAGCTCTCGCCGTGGGTCAGTCATAAGCTTTGGGGTGCAGACTTTTCCCATCACCACTGGCCATTGGTGTTCAGCAGGGAGCACCTAAATGAACCATGTGACGATCAGCTTTTCTGCGGCCAGTTGCAGCTTAGGTTTCCACAACCACATCAATGGCCCAGATCTCACAGAGATTCGAAAGGAGGCTGCCTCCAAGGGAGGCTTGCGTGGTGTGATGATTATTCGTGATCCTTTGGACATGCTGGCTTCTGCATACTGCTACTATTCAGCAGGATGGATTGTCAGGAAATGTCAGGAACCTTTTTTGCATCTAGTCTGTACTTCTGTACATCGCAACATTTTGTACTCACCTGGTTTGTACATCGCCAACATTTGAGCTTTGAAGAGTGAGCCTCTACCGACACTTGCTGCTGCCTTTGTTTGAGCGTTTGACAGCTTTGCTCAGTAGCTTGGTGTCAGTGCGGGGTGTACATGACAGCATCAACAAGACCTCACCCCTGCGCGCGCACACGCGCGCGCGCG